AAGTCGTCGGCGGTGAGCTTGATGGAGCGCAGGAGGCCCTTCTCGATGGTGGCGACGTGCACGAGCGGCCTGGCGGTCCTGCACTGGCGAATGTCCTCCAGCAGCGGCCGTACGTTCCACCGCTTGAGCGCGAACGGCTCCCGGGAGTTGAACAGTTCGGCGACTTGGCTCTCGCGCACGTGGGCGACGTGGCGCAGGCGACCGGTGGCGGTCATGCGCGCGAAGCCGCCGGTGCGCACGAGGTGGGCCATGAGGGCCTCGCGCCGCATGTGCACCTCGGCCACCTGGGCCGGCGTGAGGGCCTGCAGCGGGCGGTGGTGCTTGAGCTCGCCGTCGGCCTTGAGCCGCTGCTGGCGGCCGGTGGACTCGAGGGCGGGCTTGTGGAGCAGGTGGCCCACGGTCTGCTTGACGCCGCCCACGAGCTTGTCCTTGACGCCCTCGAGCGTGAGCTTGGCGTCGTCGAGCTTCTTGTTGGCGGTGCTCTTCTTCTTGTTGTGGTTGATGTCAGTCGAAGCCATGACGATGATGTTGTTGTTGGTAGTTGGTGTGGAGTTCTTGCTGTCGAAGTATGTGCTTTGTTTTTGATGATGAGATAGGGCTGCTTCTGTATTTATTGTGGTGGCCAGACTGGCGGAGGCAGGTGAGAGCAAGGGAAAAACGAGGGGGAATTCATTGTTCTTGGAGATGATGGATTGTCTTGTGTCCTCACGAAACAAGAAGTTTAGAAGAATTTTAGGCAGAATTTCCTCGGACTTGGGCACCATGGTGTAAGCTAAAAAATGTTGCTAAAATGTTCGTTATGCGCATCAACAAGTGGTATGCAAAGCTTGCCTAGGAGTGTTGATGGTGATGGTGGTGTCCAGCGCCGACCACGGTGTAGTTGTTCCTGCGGCGGCGACGGGCGAGGGCTACGCAAAGGGCAGTGCCTCCAACGCACAGGGCCACGCCCCCAACCACGACGCCCACAATGAGCAGGATCGCTCCCGTGCTCAGCGCTGCCAAGAGGACATCAAAGTTAGGGTGAACGACGGTGAGTGGGGGAGTTGAAAGTGGGTCGAGAGGGGTTCGTACTGCAGCTCGACGAGATGCACAACACTCCGCCCAAAGAGCACGAGCAATCGTACTGCCCACCAAAACAAATGTCAGCACCAAGACTTGATGCATGGGGGGATGCAAGGTGAGAAGCACGTACATCGCAGACGAAGTTGTCGGAGCGGCCGACGACGCACTCGCAGTAGGCCTTGCTGTTGATGTCCGGGTACTTGATGGGGCAGTCAGAGTTGTCGTTGTCCCTGATGGTCATCGCGCCCTTGCTTCCGCCCTCGATAGAGCTCAACACGGGTCCCTTGGAGTAGTAGCCACTGTTGCTGTGCTCCCCCTGTTTCCTCAGCGTCATTGCGCCATCGCTGGCCGAGTTGTTGGCGCCGTTGTGGTCTCCGGTGAGAGGAGAAAGAAGCAGTGAGAGAGCGATGAACACTGACGCCAAGCCCTGCATGACGGTCTGACGGTGTTGGTTTGGCGAGAGTAAAGCGCTCTCTGCCAAAGAAAGCCTTGGCTCCTTTTATAGCTCATAAAGACGACCCCCAGGCGCATAAGAATGTAGGTCGCGCTTTCCCTTTCGCTCGCCTAACGCAAGGGACAGCGAATTAGGAAACGATAATTCCACGCTGCTATTTCCTTTTTCTAGTTTTTATTTAGAACTAGACCAATCAAGCGCGTTTCACTTTGTTGCCACTTCGACTGGTGGATGACGACGATGACGATCGCTTGCGGGTCGTCCGTATGGCGCTGTAGAGCCGCCTCGCCAGGCAGACGGCCAACGCCAGCAGCGCGAGGATGACGAAGACAAGAAAGTAGACGGCGCCCAGACCGAAGGCAAAGTAGCGGCACACGAGGGTCACGCACTCGTGCAGCTCCTCCGCCTGCGCCAGCGGCTCAAAGTGGCGCCACCGCTGTTGTTGTTGTTGGTTCGACCCAACTGAGAGAGAACAGAGGGTAGTCAGCCCGGCCCAGAGCATGGAACCTGAAAAGAAGTGACGATGCACGGGGTACCTAGACCGTCCGCTTGAGCTGAGTCAAGAGCAGCACCAGGCATGTCGTATCCCATTTGCTGCCAGACCGCATAGGCAACGTCGGGCCGATCGGTGATGAGCCCGTCGATGCCTGAGAGCGGGTGAGAACTAACTAGTTGCGATGGGCCACCCACCGGTGTAGTGCGAGGTTGCTGTGGGGTCAACGCACCCTTGGCAAGCAATCGCTGCATGTAGCGCGCGTCGTTGACCACCCAGTAATGGACCTTGGCTCCGATGGAATGCAGATAGTCAATCATCTCCGCCCCTTCCATTGGGAAACCGCCCACAACTTCATTTCAAGCCCGGCCCGCGCACGCGTTATCAGTCACACTGGCCGAGCGCTTCACAGCTGTGCCCCCCCAATCACTATCTACGCAGAAGCAGCAGGCGTAGCGTGTAGGTACTTACTTGTTGGGAGTTGGTAGACCTCGGCCGGCGGCAGCCTGAGGCCTAGGCAATAGTCGAGCGTGTTCGCCGCAGACCCAAGCAGTATCTGTGCAGGTGTGATTGGAGATACACACATCGATGGCAGCGATCAGAATTGAGTAGGACATGACCTCTTCAGTGAGCCCACGTGGAGGGTGCGGTGGGGACTAAGGATGGACAACGACCTTGATCCGCATGTTGGTGGCTTCGGTTTCACAGGCAGCCGTGGCGATGGCGCCCTGCGTGATGTTTCGGAAGTGGTCGATGATGTCGCAGTACCGGCTGGCGACCACGAATCGAGACGAGTAGTTCGGCTGCCGTTGCAGGTGCTGCCAGGTGAGCTCCGCGGCCAGGCGCTCGCGGTCCTTTATCTCCACGTTGATCCACTGGTCGGGGAACGCGTCGAGGAACTGGTCGAAGGTGGGCACGCGAAGCGGGTGCGGGCCAGCGACGCCTCCGTCGCGGTATGGGTAGGAGAGGCCGCCGTCGTGCGTGTAGCGGTAGCCGGCGTCGAGCGCGAGCATCTCCGCGAGGGTCTTCTGTCGCACGAGCCCGTAGCCTTCGGTCGTTCGATTCACGTTCTCGTCGTGGAACACCACCAGGCGATTGTCGGCCGTGAGGCGTACGTCCATCTCGAGCACGTCAGCGCCAAGCTGGAGCGCTGAGTGGAACGCGGGCAGTGTGTTCTCTGCATTGCGCAGACATAATCAACACATGACACACACACGACACACGCACGACACAGAGGCCCTCAACGCCAATCGACTCGAGAAGAGGAGTTGTGTGCGCAAGTACCTGGGTTGAGGTAGCGCGAGCCGCGGTGTGCCAGGATGAGTGGTCGCTTGGCCTGGTAGAGCCAGCTGTTGGAGGCTGAAGGTGCTGAGGTGGAGGCCAGGGCCGCGTCTGCAAGCAGCACCACGAAGAAGGCTATCAGAGTCACCCAGCGGTGGGCCGGCACCCCTGCGTAGAGGTTCGGCATCACTTCGAACCACACGGAGCCGCAGACGAAAGATCGACGCCGCCTAATCAACAAGGTAAAAATGCGATTAAATTCTCGAAAATCGAAAATCAAATCTGCTGCGAGGCCTGGCATCGAAGCACCTTGACGTGTCAATACTGTTCGAGGAGAATCCGCCGTGACCGCAAGCCGTCTTCGATCTTGGTGTGCTCCTTGTCGGTTTCTTCTACGTTTTTTCCCCTTTTCCCGCAAGAAGGTAAGGAACAAGCAGAGAACCAGTTGCAGATGATGTTGTTTTTATGTACATCATACGTCCAAGGAGAAAGAAGAAGATCTTAAAAGCTTACATCCAGTCGGATACCCCACCCGTCGCCACACCTCCCTTGCAGTTGTCGTGCTGTAGCTCGTCGACGAGGGCTTACACGTGCTTGAGCTGGGTGCCCTGGCGGACCTCGGCGAGGAAGCCCTGCCTGTCCAACCTCTTGAGGTGGAAGTCCTTCTCGATGAGGGGCTTGGACTTGTCCTTGGTCTCGACGTGCTTGGCGTTGGCCTTGAAGCCCTTCCTCACCTCGTCCAGCAGCGGCCCCTTCTCGAACTTGTGGACGTGGACGTTCTTGTCGAAGAAGAGGTTGGGCTTGGTCTTGTCCTTGGTCTCGACGTGCTTCAGCTTGGGCGGCGCCGCCACCTCCTTGAGTAGAACGTCGTGTTGCTGGTGCAGCGCCTTGAGGCCCTTGAGGAGGTCGAGCCTGGGCGCCGATCGATCACGGACGTCCTGCCTGTTGATCTTCTTCAGGCGCTTGATGTTGTCGGCTCGCCTGATGTCGCTGAGCAGGTTGGGCAGGCGCTGCTGGTCGCGCTTGAGCCGGAAGTCCTCCTTGGTGAGCTTGATGTTGTTCATGAGGCCCTTCTCGACCGTGTTGACGTGCACGAGCGGCTTCCTCGTGCGCTTCTGGCGGATGTCCTCGAGTAGCGGCTTCATGTCCACCCTCTTGAGGTTGAACTGCTGCCACCTCTCGCCCTGGCCCTTGGGGGAGAAGTACTTCCTCACGTCGGGCTCGCGCGGCTCGACATGACGAAGGCGAAGGCTCTGGCGCTCGAAGCCGCCCATGCGCTGGAGCTCGGAGAGGACGGCCTGGCGCTTGAGGAAGACATAGGAGTCGACCCTGAGCTCGCCCTCTTCTTCTTCCTCGCCCAGGCGGCCCTTGCCCTTCTCATGCTGCTCGCGGCTGCGGTCGCCCATGGCGCGCTGCTGGGCCATGGCGGCCTTGAGCTCGGCCTCGCCCTTCTCCTTCTGCTTGTGGCCCTCCTTCTCGAGCCGCTCGACGCCGAGCAGGCTGCCCACGGTCTCTTTGACGCCACCGACGAGCTTGTCCTTGTAGCCCGCGACGGTCGAGACCTCCTCTTGCTTCGGCTGCTGCTTCGACATCTTGTGATGAACTCGACTAATGAATGTGTGTGGTGCTGATGTGGTTTGGTTGTGAGAGAAACTAGACCCAGAGTGGGAAGAGCATTTATACCCAGGGCAGAGGGCCGCCATTGAGGGGACACAAGAAGACCTGACCTGCCACCTGTGCCATGGCCCTTCTCGAGGGGAAGGTCACGCCTTTTTCATCACTTTGCCTTGGTACGGAACGGCCACTTGCTCTCTATTGGCCATCTGCGTGATATGTGTACGAATTTTGGTTGGTCACGCTTTATTCGTTCTTTCTGTCGACGAAGCAAATCGAAGAAATTACCTCCTATTCGCCGCCTCTTCGGCGGAAAGCCGTTGCGTTCTCAGGCGTTCCCCGCGCTTTTCGCAACGGTGCGGTAGGTGAGCGAGACGCGTCGGGCGCGCGGTGTGTGCTTGCCCGCCACGATATCCGCCCTCTTGGGTTCGATTCCGTGCTGCCACCCGTACCTGTGCGTTGGTACGAAACAACGCACACGATCACGTGTGAGTGTGAGTCGTGATCCAGACCTCAACGGTAACACAGTCCCTCGTATTCGCTCCAGGTTTCTCCATCCCTCTTCATCGCCCATGGCACTCTATGGATGGTCGGTGACACGACCCACCACCATGACCAGGGGGGTGTGAACCGCTCGACCACACACACACTGCAGAGCAAACGAGAAACGAACCTGGCCTGCCCTCGGAGCACGACGAGGGAGCGAGGGCGCAGCACGACTGGGATCTTCTCGCCGGTCTCCAGGCTGGTGAATGTCATCACGCAGGTGGAGAGAAGAGAGAGCGACACGACGCAAGGTCCGAAACAGTGCGTCTTGTCGATGTGCGGGTTGATGCCTTGGCCTGGAGTGTACTCTGCAGAGGACGAGAGATGGGGTGCGAGGTGAGCCCGGTGGTCGCGACGACTGCAGCGACTGCGTGTGTGGCCAGGTGTATTGCGAAACCGTTGATGATGAGCTGATCGAACTGGGGGAGCCCTCGCTGGCGCATCTTCTCAATTATCTGCTGAGCGAAGACGGGCAGCTCTATCGGAACTGATGTGTTGATGTCTTGCCGCGAGTAGTCGAACTCGTAGCCGTAATGTTGAGTGCGCCTGGTAACAACGTGGCCACGGGTGTCAACGCGCCCACGTAGTGGCGTCAATTGAGAGGTTCAGGAGGCGTGCCTGTGTAGCTTTTCGCTCCATTCTTGTGCGTCAATGGCCTGAACGAGTGCGCGCTCCTCGTCGGCTGTGATGAAGTCCTCAATGTACTCCAGGTCCGGCGGTAGCGCCGCGGCTTGCCGAAGCCCTGATGAAGACGAAGACGAAGTGCTGGGGGTGTACGCTAACGCCAGTGGCGGAGCCGAGTCCGTACTGGTGGTCGCAACCGGCGCCCACCCTACCCGTCCGCACAACTCGTCAGCAAGGCCGCGGTGGCGGTGGTGGTTGGGGGGGGGAGATGAGCACCTGGCACGGCCGGCTTGGCACCACCTCTGCCCCTCCCGCTCGGCTTGCCTCCTCGGCTGCCGCCGCCAGGCTGTACACGCTGGTTTCGACTCATCAAGGCAGAGCTCGGTCCCCGCTCGCAAGCCACCGGCAGAGGCGTGGGCAGGGACGACCACGTATCGTACGTGAAGTGGTTCGCAGTATTTTCTGTAAACGTGAAAAAAAAATATAAATAAAAAAGCAAGAAGTAGAAAGAAGAGAGGGAAAAGAGATAACTGAAAAAACACGTAAATAACGTTTGGGGGCGAGAGGACACGCAACTCTTGTTGTGTTCGCGACTGCAAGATGACGGACATGAAGGAACTCATACGCAAGCGGCTGGGCCTGGCAGCGGCTGGGCCGGCGAAGGCCGCACCAGAGAAAGAAACGCCGAAGAAGATAGAAGCGGATGATGGTGCAGCTGGGGAAGCTTCCGACGTGGACCACGAGAGCGAGGGACCACGACATGAAGAAGAAGAAGAAGATGACGAGACACAACCTTCAGTCTGTGACTGCGGGAAATGCCAGGAATTCGTGGCGACGAAGCGACCAACGCAGACATCGCAGAGCGCGGGGCGGGGGCGAGGAGGGAATAGAGGAGGCCGAGGGCGAGGGGGCAACCCGTGGGGCACCCCACCCAGCGGCAATCACGCGACAAAGGAGGAATCGGAAGATGAAGACGACCACACGCCACTGGGATCCACCACTTGCGCTTCGTGCGGTTGCGATTTGATCAAGCATGTCGTGCCGGGCCAGCTAGAGGACGAGGATGGGTTTGAGGACGAAGACTACGACCCCGTCTACGGCGAGCATGACTAAACACACCTTCACCCACCGTGCCGTGATCCTCGGCCTATCTTTTTGGCGCGTAATTAATTTCATTCCTGGCATTCCCTAACAATTCCGCGGTGCAGAAAATCGCGAATGGCTAAGAAATTTCTGCCAGAGCGAGTGTCGACAATTGTATTATTGTGTCGACAACGGCCGAGGCAACCTCGGTAGAGCAGATTATTGGAAGCCAAGGCAGCACATATCGAGTGACATCATCCATCGACCCCACCGACAGCGAGCACTCTCAGGCCTCTTCATGAGTAGTATAGGCAATTAAATCAGCCCTTATTATTTCCTCTTCATTCGCTCTACTCTTTTCTTTCAACTTTAGATTATACGAACCAATTGACACCTCTACTCCTTCACGTGGACGATTACGTTGAAGTCTCAACAAGGCGAAGGCGTTGATCGATTCGTAATTTATTGGTGAGGTGGGAGACGACGTACTTCCATCATTATTATTCTTATTCACTCTTCATTCTATTTTTATTTATCACATCTGTCCATAGCAATTCATCCTACCTCTACATCATCTACCATCATCATCATGTCTGCCGCCCCACCCAGCTCACATTCTACGGACCAACTCCTCACGCCCGACCGAAATGCCCTCGCGAAGGTGAAGAGGAAATCGTCTCTCGCATCGTCACTCAGCTCAATCAACCCCATGAGCAAGATGAAGGCGCGAAATAGCAACAACAACAAGATCTCAGCCTCACCTCCCAGCAACTCGCCCACCGACGTCCCGCAGCTGGGCACCAACTGGGGCAACATCTCGCGTCATCTCTCCAGGTCGTACGAAGATGTGCCGCATACGGGCGGCGATCCTCAGGCCGATCTCACGCTCGCCGGCGGCCAGTACGCCTCCAGCTCCTTCGACGACTACATCGATCTCCAGAGGCGCGAGAAGGAGGCCAAGCGGAAGGACAAGGAGGACAAGGACGCCAAGAAGCGCGCCAAGGAGGAGGAGAAGCGCAAGAAGAAGGGCGACAAGGCCGAAGCCAAGAAGGAGCGCGAGCGCGAGAAGGAACGCGAGAAGCAGGAGGAGGCCGAAGAGTGGGAGCGCGGCTCCGAGCAGCAGCAGCAGCCGGCCGAGAGCGAGAAGGAAAAGGAGAGGAAGAAGCGCGAGAGGATTGCGTCGTCACTGGCGCGCATCGGCCACAAGGGAGCTCCGGGTCCGGCGGACGAGGTGGGGGCGCAGACGTTCGTGCGCTACGCCGAGAGCGAAGACGAAACGCTGAGCATCGGCAAGAAGCGCGACAGGGACGCCGCCGTCGCCACGACCATCGTCACCAGCGGCCTCCCCGACGGCAGCAGCGACGACAAGCAGCCGATCGAGCAACTGGCGGTGCTGCAGCCGCAGAAAGAGAGCAAGAAGAAGCGGGAGAAGGAGAAGGAGCGGGACTCCGAGCAACAGCAGCAGCAGCAGCACAACGATAAGGAGGAGCAGGCCACGTTCGACCAGAAAAGCGAAAGGAAAGAGTCGAAGAAAAAGAAGGAGAGGGATAAAGACGAGCCGCCGCTGCAGCAGCAACAGAAGGTCGAAGACGGAGACGAGGACAAGAGCGGCGGAAGCGACAAGGACCGGGAGAAGCGGCGTGAGGTGCGCAAGAACATTTCGCCCAGCGAGGAGAGGCGCAAGCGCGACAAGCGCGAGGAGAAGATCAAGGCCGAAAGAGCGAAGGAAAAGAACGAAAACGGAGCCGGGAGCGATAGCGAAACGCCCGCGACGCCCGTGGCGAAGAAGAAGCCGCTGGCCGGAAGCAGGGAGGGCAAGGCGGCGAGCAAGGCCGCCAAGGAGGAGCTTCGTGAGAAGAGACGCTCGCTGGAGAGAAAGACCAAGGAGGGCGACCTAGCACTCGGCCAGGTGACTGGTGCACCACCCACATCGACCGCGCTCATCGTCGTCTCCAGTGGCAGCGCCCCTGTGGAAGCGGAATCGAGCGGCGGCAGCGCACGCAAGGTGTCGGGCGGTGCCAGCGCTCTTGGCGGCGGCGGGACCCAGCCTGACCGTGAGGACTCAGGCGAGTTCTATCGGCACCTGAGCGAGGGCGTCCCGCGTATCCTCGACCAGGTTCTCACGCCCCAGCGCGTTCGACGCGACAAGCCCGAGGCCGCAGGGGCACTCCCGAGCACGACCGAAGAACTCTCAAGCGCGACCGCCGATGCCGAGGCCGACACCGAAGCTGCCGTCGAGCCGGGTGCTTCCGACACCGAACCGCTGGCGGCCGACGTCGCAGCGTCGGGACCGGCCAGCGCCGGCTCCGGCATCAAGCTGACCCGCTCTACGCTGGCCAAGATCCTCTTCGAGGAGCCCGACGCCGCAGGGGCATCCCCCGTGGCCACCGACGAACTGCAACGCGAAGAGCCGCCGCTGCCTGAGGTGGAGCAGCCCATGGAAGACGAGCCGTGGGCCATCTACCTGGGAATGGTGGGTCCGAACGCAGACGACGAGGAGGCCGAGGAGGAGCTGCTGCACCTCTACCAGCAGCAGCAGCACCCGTTCAGCGCCGAGGAGCTGGGCGGCGAGACGTTCGTCACGATGCACGACGACCTGGCGCTTCCGCGCTCGCAGTCGTACTCGCCGACGCTTACCGCGGCGACCCGCCCGATGCCGATCGGATCGCCCCTGCGCGTGTTATCGCCCCCCGGCAGCGCGCCGTCCGAGCGTGCCAGCAGCGCAGCAGTCCACTCGACTTCGCCGTCACCGCCGCCCAGCGGCCTTACGATTCAGCCCTCGCCGCGGTCCCAGTCGCCGCCGCCCAGTCCACCGAGACTGGATCGACCCACCCCGCACCGCTACCTGCAGCCCGATCGCTCGATCACGCCGCCCACGGCGTCGACGTCGGCTTCGACGTCGGCGCATCTCATATTGTCCGACGCGGACCGGACGACTAGCGCGCCGGTGCTTCCCCCGTCATCGCTGGGGAGCGGTGTCTCAGCCATGACTGCGCTGCCAGCGCACCTCCACATCGACCCGTCGACAGACTACCGCAAGGCCATCGCTCGCGTGGCTGCGCAGCTCCACCCCGACCTCGCGCTCTCCAAGATGAGTCTCGTCGTCATGAACAAGATCGTCAATCTCGTCTTCGACCGGATCGCAACCTTGGTACTTTCCTCTTCGTGAGCTCATAATTTGTCTTTGCCTGGACTGCAGCCAAGGTCGCTTTCTCACGCTCCTCCATCTTCTTCTCCTCAGGCCGCCCAGTTCGCCCGCGACAACAAACGCAACACGGTCACCTCGCGCGAGATCCAAATGGCGGTTCGCCACGTGTTCGCTCAGGTACTGCCCGCCGCCACCACCACCTCCTCCTTTTTCGATTATTTCTGGCCTCGATCGGCGCAGATGCGTGAGCACGGGAGTTAGCTTACGCTTCGTTGTTGCTTGGTTGATTGGTTGTACCTGAGCAGGAGGGCACGAACATGGCAACGCATTGTATCGCCTTCTCCAACCAAGCGGTGCACAGCCATTTCGCCCTCCAGGAGAAGATCAAGCGCGAAGAGGAGCGAGTGCTGCTCGCCGCCGAGCAGCCTGCAGCGACGGCTCCGTCGGAATCCGCCGCGCGGGGTGGTGCCGATGCTGGCAAGCCGGCGCCTGTCGGCGAAGGACTCAACGCGGACGACTCGATAGCCGTCGCAGGCGACCAGATTTCCGCCGACGCGCCCGCGCCGCTATCGACATCTCCCGAGACCGGCAGCGCCCTCGTGTATGCCACGGACGGCGGGGTGGTCGATCTGCGTCGGCCGAGCTACGGTGCCGACTCGACCAGCGGCCACGACGAATTTGTGCCGTACGACGTGTCGGTCCCTGACGCCGTCGTCGAATCCCTGTTGCCGACGGCCGACGAGACAACCGTACAAAGCGGCAGCAGCAGGCCAGGCCCCGACGAGGTGTTGCTTCTCCGCCAGCGAATGATGGCGGAGAGGAAGGCGTCGCTCGCGGCGATACTGGACGGCTCGGCCTCCAGCGCGGGCGGCCAGCGCAAAGCGGGCCGCGAGGAGAAGCGGACCAGCGGCACCGACCAGTTCTACCAGATGATGAGCCAGGGCGCCGAGAAGAACCTCCAAAGCGGCGGGGCCGTCAGCAGCAGCTCGGACAGCGAGGTCGACCGACCGACGAAGAAAAAGCCGCCGCCGACGCACCACCGCGACACGAAGAGGGACGGCGCCGCGGGCAAGAGGAAGAAGAAGCCGTCGACGCATCAGCAGCAGGGAGCGACTACCCACAGCAGCGGCGAGGAGCGCGACAGGGAGAGGGAGAAGAAGCCGGGCAAGCACAACGGCAAGCGACGCGGGAGCGCGCGCAGCCTGAGCAGCGGAAGCGAGGACGAGGGCCGCTCGAAGAGCCGCTCCAAGCGCGGGCGGGACCGGAGCAGTAGCAGCAGCAGCAGCAGCGACGGTGGTGGCGGAGGCAACAGCGAGAACAGGGACAGGCGCATCCGCCGCAAGCGGAAGGTGCGCCGAAAGCACCACCCCTCGTCGAGCAGCGACGATTCGAGCGAGAGCGAGAGCGACGAGGCCACCACGAAGCGGCGCGGCAAGAAGGAGCGGGACAGGGAGAAGAGGAAGAAGCGCCGGTCGGCCAAGATATCGAGCAGCAGCGAGACTGACAGCGAGCGCGAGAGGCGGCGCGAGATGCGCGAGAAGAAGCGGAAGGAGCTCGACAAGCTGGGCGAGCTGAGCACCAGCGACAGCGAGAAAGAGAAGCGCCGACAGAATCGCCGCGACAAGCGGCGGCTGAAGGAGAAGGAGAAGCAGCGTGCCAATGCCAACGCGAGCAGCGACAGCGACCGTGAGCGCAGGCGTGCTAAGAGGCGAAAAGAGAAGGAGAAGGCGAAGCTCCACAACGGCGGCAGCAGCAGCAGCAGCTCGGACACCAGCCCCGACTCAAAGGAGCGCAAGCGGCGGCGCAGGGAGAAGAAGCGGAAGGAGCTGGAGAAGCTGGGCGAGCTGAGCTCGAGCGACAGCGACAAGGAGCGGCGGCGGCGCGAGAAGCGAGCACGCGAGCGTCGGAAGAAGGAGGCGCGAGGCGGCGGCAACAAACTGACCACCAGCAGCAGCGATACCGACCTCGCTGCCGACAAGGACCGAGGCAGCAAGCAGCAGCGCAAGGGCGGCGCAGGCAGCGGAGGCAAGGACAAGCGCGACAAACAGCAGCAAAAGAGGAGGAACAAGACCGCGTCAAGCAGCAGCAGCGACACGACTGACCACGACAGCGCCGCCGAGCGTCGAAACAAGACGAGCGCCAAGCAGCGCCGCCGGATTAAGCGCGCCGCGGCCGAGGCGGCTGCCGCCGCCAGCAGCAGCAGCTCGGACGCCAGCTCGGGGAGCGACACGGCCGGAAGTCGGCGACGCGGCGGCGGTAGCAGCAGCGACGACTCGTCCGCGGCCGAGCGCAAGGCCGTCGCCGAGAAGCGGGAGCGCAGGAGGAAGCACAAGGAGAAGGACCGCGAGCGGCGGAGGGAGCGCGAGGACAAGTACAAGGACCCAGCCCTGTCTGCTGCCGTCGCCGCCACGCCCGCCACGCCGCCGGGCAGGAAAGACAAGGACAAGGACAAGGAGGGCGCAACCGCTGCCAACGTCGGCGGGGCGCCGGGCAGTGCCAAGCCGCGCAAGCCGAAGCCCGCCGTCGGCGGCGAGCAGCGACTCGCGGCACCGCACGACCCGCACACGCACACACGCACACCCTCGCGAGGGTGAATGTAGTTTAGCTGAGAGAGTTTTCGTTCTTTTTTGAACTTCAACAGCCAACGGTTCCCAACTTCTTGTTGCAACCTCTCTGTTTGCTTCGCTCTGCACTTCTTATTGAGCCTCAACACCTCCTCCGATTTGTCCGTCTCTTGTTTCACTTAAAGTTTGGAATGGCCATTGGCCTTTCCCCTCTATTTCGGAGTTAGTAAGGCGGTGGCGCCTTAAATGGAGGAGTAAGAGGAGAGTACCACTGCAACTTATTTCCTCCGCTTGCAAGACGTCAAGGACCTAACAACAACCGCTCACAAGATGCAAGGCCTGGCTTCGATATTCATCGCCATCTCGCTCCTTCTTTCACCTCTCACCGGAGACCACAACAGCAACAACAACAATGTCGCCAGGCAAGATCAGACCAACAACAGCTACGGCACAGGTCCGGCGGTGACTTCGATCGACGGAGGGGCCAAGGACGCGATGACCATCCGCGACACCGACAACTCCGACTGCCCCTACAAGTACCCGAACATCAACAGCAAGGACTACTGCGAGTGCGTCGTCGGCCGCTCCGACAACTTCATCTGCAACGTGCGCGCTTCTCACCCCCCCCCCAATATGTTCATCTTTCATTCCTCAACTTCTAGTTTTTTTATCTGGAACACTATGCTAACTTTCTATTATTTATTCTTTTTTATTTGCGTACAGTACGACTGCTCGTGCTCGTTCGGTGGCGTTCTCTGCGTCTCCTCCAGCTGCAGTACGTACACTACTTACGTGCAATATATTGTGCAATATATTGTAATGAAAGATGTGTTGCAAACAAGTTTAGCTAACCATGCAACAACTTTTTTCCCTAATTGTGCAGCGTTGAGCACGGGCGCTATTCTTGTCATCGTGGCCGTCGTCGTCGTGGGCGTGGGCGCATGCAGCGCCTGCGTGGGCCTCTGCGTGCGCGCTGCCCGCCGCCGACGAACCTACGCTGTGGTGGGCGGCGGTCACGCCACCGTGCACCATCATCACCAGCCCGCTGTGCCGCAGTACGCGCAGCAGCCCCAGCCGCAGAGCTACATGTACCAGCAGTACCCGCCCCAGCAGCAGGC